CCTGGCTAGCAAGCAAGCCGACTGGTTGGGAGTCCAAACCAGCCAGTCGTCGAGGTAGGCCAACACCCAAACACATAAGAGATGCAAACGGGCCACCACGACCCGCGTAAGGCATGTGAACACACGAGGTGCCAGGTTCAACCCAAATGGGAGGCAACGAAAGCGGTAAAATTGACGCCCCACAACAAAACCGAGCCAGTTCCGGGACCTCGTGTGAATCGGGACATGCCAATAAGCGTCCCGGAGGTCCAGGGACACCATCCAAGCGTCCGGATCCAAGAGGAGCCGAACCTGGGACAGCGTAGTCATCCAAAAGGAGGGGCAATGAACCCAGGGGTTCAGATGGGACAAGTCCAGAATGAGCCTCAGGTTCACACAGTCCCGTTTCGGGACCGGAAACAGACGGGAAACCCATCTGAGGGATGTCGTCGTTTCGACTACACCCAAGTGAACCCACTCCAAGACGACCTGATAGAGCGCAGGGGAAGAAACCTGCCCTGCTAGCCCCAACCCCCCCAAAGGGGAGGGGGGGCCACCCAAACAAGCGCCGTCGAAAGGGAGGGAATCTGCACATGGAGCTCAACAACGCCAACATCACGTGGAAGGGCAGAAGCAAACAAGCACTCGTTTAGGTACTCAAGATCGCCCCCCCCCCCAGGAAAACCTGAACCACCGTGGAAGCACGCCACGCCAGCGTGCGGTTACGACAGAAGGAATTCCAGGCATCCAAAACTAACAAGGGGCAGTCTGCTAGACAAGAAGACTCCGCAACCTTGTAACGGAGCCAGAAAGGGAACGAAGTCCCAAACCTGAATTCCGAGGGATCTATCTCCGAGTTATAATCCGGGTCACGCAGGAGGTATACTGCAAGGGCAGCCCACACCACACCAGGTTGGATGCGATAAGCCGAAAACCTCCGGAAAGACTGAACCGACGCACCGGGGGGAACACGGAACTGAATCCGGGGCCGACACCAAATCCAACTCGTACGCAGAGGGGGGAAAAGAAAACCTCACTCCTTGCAACAGTAAGCCCCGCTCAGAGGGAATAAAAACCCAGGCAGGGTCTAACGGGACCCAAGGCCCCCAAGTCAGCCCCCTCCCAAGTCCCTAGGTACCCCACAGCAGGACCCGGGGCAGAGTCATCTCTCTAAGCACCGACCTCACAAGACAAGGACGGTGCTGCCGCAGAAGCCGGAAGAAAGGGGGGCTCACTGGTCAGACCCAAAAGCTTTGGCCGGGAGACAAGACTCGAAAGCCTCCGCAGCCCACCAGAAGGGGCATCCCCCGAAGCTGCCCGAGTCTCAAGATCAAGTAACCCCTGCCCCGACTCCAAAACCCTCAGACGTTTCGCGGCCGGAAGCAGGGGGAGGGGGACCAGAACGAACAACTGGAGGGGAAGGACGAGGAGGTGCGGACTGAACCAGGATCGAAGCGACCCCCACTCCCATGTCCGGGTCTCAAAAAGCAAAGCGGGACAACCCCGGGGCATCCGGGTGAGCAACCAACCGAGTGCGTTGCAACAGACGAAACCTAGCTTGCAATGCTTGCGCCGCCCGTACCCAAATAGAATCATCAGAGGATTGGGTAAATTGAGTCACTAGCAAGCAGCAACACTCACAGGACTCAGGGTCGAAAGTATCATCGACCCAACAGGCGGCGTGGCGGAGGCAAAAACAACGAGGGTCACCCTCAATGGGCAGACAAGGGGACCGAGCAAGGGGACCGAGCAAGGGGACCGAGCAACCCTCAAACTCTCACAAAGCGAGTGGGGACTCCGGTTATCTTGAGATGATTTCGGGGCTTAGTGTCCCCGCGGCCTAGTCCTCGACCAGGCCTTCACCCCCAGGAAGCAGCCTGTGACAGCTGACTAACTCCCAGGTACTGATTTACTGCTAGGTAACAGGGACATCAGGGTGAAAGAAACTCTGCCCATTGTTTCTCGTCGGTGCCCGGGATCGAACCCGGGACCACAGGATCACACGTCCAGTGTTCTATTCACTCAGCCACCGGCTCCGAGGTCACATCCATCAGACCCACGTGCCCCCTAGGATTTTCCCAGGGTCCTGAGCATTTACTTTAAGAGGACTCACACCCAGGTAGTCCCAGGCAGGGTGCTGCTAACCGGCGCCCAAAACTACCAAGCGAACTTCTATAGCTGAACCCCAGGGACGTGTACACTCACGGGGACCTAGCAGGGGGTGCCACCGAGGAGAACCGTGGAAGGGCAAACACCAGTGGATAATAGGATAAAACCCACCACAAGCCAAAAAGTAAAACAAAAACAAAACCTCACAAGAGGGCAGCGAACCCCAAGGAACAGAGCCGGCCGCTATGTTGGGAAAACAAAGCTGCACTGCACCCTACGCCCCTACCAGTGCAAACTGCCACTCACCCGCAGGAAACAAGGGAGAACAGAACACCCAAGAGCCCAACAGGCGGCCGAAAAACCGAACAGTGGAATGGACCAGCAGAAGCAGGTCCCGAGGAGCCTGTGGAAGGTGTCCCCAAGCTCCAAGGGCAGTACTTATAAGGCACCTAGGGAAGGCAGCCCTAGGCGCATGCAGCCCGAGTACTGAAGATAACTCCTGGCTCTCGCACCCTTGGAAAAACAAACACCACACACGAAGGACAGTGCTGTGAAGACACTGGAGCCAGAGCACACGACCTCTGCCTATAGCATCAGCCTCAAGAACTGAGGTGTGGGTAGCTGGCATGAGGGGTCTGGGGTTCCCCCTTTCCCCTCCCGGGAAGAGGGGAGCTGCGCAGACAGGCAGCGTGGCGATGTGTGACGTCATGATCGTTTGCTCGTTTCTTTTTGGGGAGTTCTATCCACCTGTTCGGCTTGTGGTAGCAATTTTCACCAGAATAGGGGTTTGTTTTGGGACGCTTACCTTTCTGGGTGCCTGACCCGGTCGATGGCAGACAGAATGCTTCCAACCACACGGGGGTTTCTATAGGCTATTGCTCCCCTTGCCTCTCCGAGGGGGCCAGGTTCTGGCCCGTGGTTCCTGGTAGGCCCATAGAACTCCATACACATGACTGATGCCAAAGTCTAACATTAGCCTATCAGCCTGGATAAGCTCCAGGGAGCCGAAGGGGCTCCCCCCCCCCCCCAGAAAATCAGCTATTTAAACATCTGCAGAAATTCCAGATGCAACAAACAACATCCACAGATTTCCCAGAATTAAGCAGTTTCCCATCAACCAATTAATGAGCAGCTTGTCTTACTTGAGACAGGTAGACGGGAATATAAGGCAAGGCGCCAGGCAGCCATTCTCAACACATAACTACCAGCAGCAACTTCACCTTGTAGCAACTATATTAAGATTACAGTATTAAGAGAGCTCCTGACTACAATATAGTAATATAGTTGCTCTAAATTCTCAGAAGTTCTATTGCAGACACTCAAATGTATGTGTTAATTCCACATAACTTATCCCTATATATTCCACATTCCAAGAGGTTCTCTAATAATCTTATGTGCACTAATTACAATTGATACTTGTTCCCAAGATTTCCAGGAATCACTGAGGACAGCTGAAGTAACTGGCAAGATGATGGTCAACTTGCCAAGTCAGGTTGAAGGGTGGAATATAAGCTGTCAAGAACATCGAGTCATCAGTCTAACTCCAATAGTGGTTCAGTGACAAACACTCTGGATATACTGCACATTTTCCCAAACACCATCAATAGTCACCAGGATACGATGTAATTCTCTGGGAACATGGAATTCCAGCCATACTCAAGCTACCTGCTCTTGTCCCACATTCAATCTCTCCAACACCACCTGCATTTAAGCCCTCTTTCCCCAGCCTTGCTCAAGCTCTACTCACAGTTCCAGGCCTCACTCAAGCATCCTCAACTCAGCTATCATGACACATCATTATATTTTAAACATCTGACTGTTGTAACCAAAACTATATTAAATAAACATCAAAATCCAGTATACTCTTTGAATGCTGTCAACCAAAATTGTATATGTTACAACCTCTTTACCAGCCTTGATCCCATCAACTGTGGCCGGTCTCTCATGCCACTGACATTCAACAGCCTCACCCTAGGGCTCACCGTGTTATGATAATTCCACAGTCTCCGTGGTGTAGTGGTAAGACACTCGCCTGGCGTTCCGCGAGCGCTATGTCATGGGTTCGTATCCTGGCCGGGGAGGATTTACTGGGCGCAATTCCTTAACTGTAGCCTCTGTTTAACGCAACAGTAAAATGTGTACTTGGATGAAAAAACGATTCTTCGCGGCAGGGGATCGCATTCCAGGGACCATAGGATTAAGGACTTGCCCGAAACGCTACGCGTGCTAGTGGCTGTACAAGAATGTAACAACTCTTGTATATATCTAAAAAAAAAATGATGATGTCATAAATGCAGCAACCACTGCTGTAACCATTTACTGTACATCATATATATATCTAGTTATCATATTGTGTCTTCATTGTCCAAACCTGTCAAACATTACACCTCATATCTACACCTACATTGCGAAAAGATAGGTGAATTTAGAGACAATTCTATAACCAATGTTCCAGCGATGTGTAAATATTTCATTCAAAATGACCTGCTACCAGAAATTTTAGCCAAATATCCCCAGTTTGCTAACTGTAGGTAGTAACTGAGTGATTGTAACCTATCCACCGCTGCCCACTGGATGGGGGGCGGTGTGCAGGACAAACATATCAATTGTGACACTAGCTCTCCACATATGTCAGTTGCTTAATTTAGAACCTGTACTTGAGGTCGATCTCGAACCCATTGTTGATGTGACGACTTATATTAAAGTTTGTAACTAGCTCATCAAGATTGTAACTTGCTTAGCTAAATGAATTGTGGGGTTCAGTCCCTGAGCCCATTATGTGCCTCTGTAACCCTTTCCACTACTGCCCACAAGATGGGTATGGGGTGCATAATAAATGAACTAAACTAAAAAAAAAAAAAACTATAGCTACTCCAACAAGTATGCCTGCCAAGACTTTATTAGTAACTGACCTTAAACATATCATATTTATTGTATCCAATGTCAAGATTTTCAAGGATTGCTACCATCTCTGTGCCTTTGAAAATTTTGCCTGAGCGGTCAAACTCCTTATAGTCCGTGAGTTTATCCGATTGTGAGGCCACCCAATCACTCAAAGCACTCAACATGACAGACTGAGGAAAGAAAAGATAACGGTTAGTTCTTTTCACAAATTATAACAACTTCCTAATTTCTAGGTGAAAACAGCAAGTAAGATTGAAAGTAGGCAGGTAATCAGAGAAATGTAATTAAAAGATAAATTGGGAGAAGAAAATGTAATAATAGGTGCAAAGGTCTGCAACTCAATACTTTAATATCATCTCATAGTACCTGTATTATTTTATTTCCCCCAAAATGTACTACGATAATTAACACATTATTATTCAGGAAAGATGAAGTACTGAAATACTGTGCGGTAATTACTGGCTTCGTAAAAAATAAAAACACAATACTGTACCTACTAAATACTCACTGTCAGCAGAGCCTCTGAATTTATCATCAATATTTATTATAAATACAGTATTATAATTTATTATAAAATATTGTTATTATGCTCTTAGTATTCGTGAGTTTGATCCTTGAAGAGAAAAACCTTACCCAAAGTTGACACATTAATTTTAAGTGACTCAATCATCCTTGATTGAAACCAATTCCTCAAGAAGTAACTGTGATGTGCTTGTGTCTCAAGCTAGGCATGGATATAACAAAATAATCACTGATGGAGTCAAAATCTGTCTCCTATGGATCCCATCCCATATTGACCTTTGAATGGATGATAGCACTGACGAATTAGCCAAAGCATGTGCTCTTGGAGAGGGACTTGAATTCCATATTGGATTACCTTTGAGCAGCCCGAGGGCAGTAATATATAGACACCTGCAACAAAATTTAGTGGACCTGAGACAAAGTGAAATTCACACTAGAACCATTTGGGATTCTAGTGTGAAGACTAGAAGTTTGAAGTTTGAAGAAGTTTGAAGTTCTAGTGTGAGACTTTAGGGTCCGTGGCCTGAAGAGACTGTAGGGTCCGTAGCCTGAAGAGACTGTAAGGATCCCATCTCTGTCATTTCCCTGTATCGGGGAAATCGGGGCGCATCCAACCTCTCGATCATCGTCGCCCATCAACCAACAACAACTTCTTCAAAATCAAAATCAAAATGTTTATTCAGGTAAAAGCACATACATAGAAGATGAGTTACAAGCATAATGTTGGATTTATAGATAGAGCTAGTACATACAATACCTAAAGCCACTAATACCCTCAGCATTTCGAGCAAGGTGAGGGGAAAAAAAACTTAGACTAAAGCTTGATACTAATTGAGATTAAAATATAAATTGTGTAGAAAAAGGGGAAAAAAGGGAGGTGGGGAACATGGCAGAAATCAGTAATTATATAACTTGGTCAACAAACAGTATTGTTTAAAAATACCAAGACATAGGTTGACATTAGGGGTAAGGTAGGTTACATGGAGTTTATTAGGTAGAACTTAGTTTTCCTCTTAAACTGGTTGAGAGAGGTACAGCCTATGACATGATTGGGGAGGTCATTCCACATTCTGGGTCCCTTGATTTGTAGAGCATTTCTAGTTTGGTTAGGTATTTATAGGCAACACAGAACCAAAAGTTGCAAGTAGCACGGGCTATGGTGAGCCTGTAGTGGACTTACCTGGCACAGGAGCGGAGCAAGTAGCACGGGCTATGGCGAGCCTGTAGTGGACTTACCTGGCACAGGAGCGGAGCAAGTAGCCCGAGCTATGGTGAGCCAGTAGTGAACTTACCTGGCACAGGAACGTAGGGAGGTCAGATGACTCGGCCTCCTCTGTATTTTTCCTAGGCAGCATTAAGTACCTCTGCTTTGCCACATTTTATACAAAAAAAAATCAACATTAACAAATAAACCTGTAATTGCCTTTCAGCTTACCAGTTCAGTGCACTCATGAATATGGGCTTCATATTTGATCATCCTTTTAAAATCGCTGATGGCTTCATCTATCTCGTCCTTGGTAAGTGTGCACGAGGCCGCCTCCCTGGCGCTGTCCTCAATGTTGTGGGCTTCGTCCAGCACGATAACTTGGTCATTCAGGTTGATCTCCATCTGTTAAAGATAGCAATGTTGTGTACCTTTTGGTCAAAGTCAAGGAATCACAATTGACTTGAGAATGGTCCAGGACGGGCCGAAACGTCGTCGTCCCTTCACCTTCTAGTGTGTGATCTGGTCAACAAAGTCAAAGAGGTTCGTGAGACAGAATGTTATTATACAGGAGCCTGAAGAAAGTGGTGGTGCAAGACCCCATTACTAGAGGGGAAAGTTTTGTTTTGATTAGATCAAAACAACACTGTAGCATGTGGTAGTTCTGGCGCATGATCCTATAAGGAGAATAGTACTGGTAACATGCATAATAAATTAACAAATACACAATACCAACCCTCATTTATGAGAGAAAAATGAGTAACGTGCAGCTTTAAGGAATTTCAATGTCAACTATTCCTTGCTACTACTACGATAATAGTCCGATGATGCTCTTACCGACTCCCTTATGCAGGGATCAATGAGGTAGTTGTACGGGCAGATGATGACCTCAGCTGTAGCCATCAGTGACCTGGCAGCAAAATAGGGACAAGCTTTGATCTTTTTTCCCAGCGTCACCAAGTCTTCAATATCCCAGGCGGGACTCATTCCATAACTAGCCAACTGGTCGTGGGTCTTGATTTTATTGACTCCATGGTAGTACCTGCATCCTGAGGCCTGTACAAGGACGATGAGTTGATTGTTAACAAATAAATGTTAAAATATGATGGAACCAATACTGTATTTGTACTAACAATCATAAATTATAACAGAGAAATAACTGTGGATTTAGGAAAGTTCAATACCTGTACTAACCTGTACTCTCACTGCTCATCTGTACTCACCCAGTCCCGCATTTCAAACATTTTGTAGAGTAACGACTATTCCACTTACAACTCCGACACTGAAAAAGTTCTTTCTGGCATCGCTGTGGCTCGTCTGAATCTCTAGCATCCATCTTTGCCTCCTTGTTCTGCTGTTCCGAGCTTTTGAATATTGTATATCTACTTTATCAAATCCATTACAATTTAATAAATTATCTTATCCCCCATATACAGTACATCCCTTCCTCCAGTGTTATGAAAGGGTGAACCAGTCATTTTTGTGTCTACTCGCAGCTCAGGCTCCCCTGACCAGGAGGAGTTTTGCTGTACACACACAGTTACAGTCCCGCTCCTGTGCCAGGTAAGTCCACTACGGGCTCACCATAGCCCGTGCTACTTGCCCCGGAACTGTGCCAGGTAAGTCCACTACGGGCTCACCATAGCCCGTGCTACTTGCCCCGCAACTGTGCCAGGTAAGTCCACTACGGGCTCACCATAGCCCGTGCTACTTGCCCCGCAACTGTGCCAGGTAAGTCCACTACGGGCTCACCATAGCCCGTGCTACTTGCCCCGCAACTGTGCCATGTAAGTCCACTACGGGCTCACCATAGCCCGTGCTACTTGCCCCGCTCCTGTGTCAGGTAAGTCCACTACGGGCTCACCATAGCCCGTGCTACTTGCCCCGCTCCTGTGTCAGGTAAGTCCACTACGGGCTCACCATAGCCCGTGCTACTTGCCCCGCTCCTGTGCCAGGTAAGTCCACTACGGGCTCACCATAGCCCGTGCTACTTGCCCCGCTCCTGTGTCAGGTAAGTCCACTACGGGCTCACCATAGCCCGTGCTACTTGCCCCGCTCCAGTGTCAGGTAAGTCCACTACGGGCTCACCATAGCCCGTGCTACTTGCCCCGCTCCTGTGTCAGGTAAGTCCACTACGGGCTCACCATAGCCCGTGCTACTTGCCCCGCTCCTGTGCCATGTAAGTCCACTACGGGCTCACCATAGCCCGTGCTACTTGCCCCGCTCCTGTGCCATGTAAGTCCACTACGGGCTCACCATAGCCCGTGCTACTTGCCCCGCTCCTGTGCCAGGCAAGTCCGCTACGGGCTCACCATAGCCCGTGCTACTTACCCCGCTCCTGTGCCAGGCAAGTCCACTACGGGCTCACCATAGCCCGTGCTCCTTGCCCCGCTCCTGTGTCAGGTAAGTCCACTACTGGCTCACCATAGCCCGTGCTACTTGCCCCGCTCCTGTGTCAGGTAAGTCCACTACGGGCTCACCATAGCCCGTGCTACTTGCCCCGCTCCTGTGCCAGGTAAGTCCACTACGGGCTCACCATAGCCCGAGCTACTTGCCCCGCTCCTGTGTCAGGTAAGTCCACCACGGGCTCATCATAGCCCGTGCTACTTGCCCCGCAACTGTGCCAGGTAAGTCCACTACGGGCTCACCATAGCCCGTGCTACTTGCCCCGCTCCTGTGTCAGGTAAGTCCACCACGGGCTCATCATAGCCCGTGCTACTTGCCCCGCAACTGTGCCAGGTAAGTCCACTACGGGCTCACCATAGCCCGTGCTACTTGCCCCGCTCCTGTGTCAGGTAAGTCCACCATGGGCTCATCATAGCCCGTGCTACTTGCCCCGCAACTGTGCCAGGTAAGTCCACTACGGGCTCACCATAGCCCGTGCTACTTGCCCGGCTCCTGTGCCAGGTAAGTCCACTACGGGCTCACCATAGCCCGTGCTACTTGCCCCGCTCCTGTGTCAGGTAAGTCCACTACGGGCTCACCATAGCCCGTGCTACTTGCCCCGCTCCTGTGTCAGGTAAGTCCACCACGGGCTCACCATAGCCCGTGCTACTTGCCCCGCTCATGTGCCAGGTAAGTCCACCACGGGCTCACCATAGCCCGTGCTACTTGCCCCGCTCCTGTGCCAGGTAAGTCCACTACGGGCTCACCATAGCCCGCGCTACTTGCCCCGCTCCTGTGCCAGGTAAGTCCACCACGGGCTCACCATAGCCCGTGCTACTTGCCCCGCTCCTGTGCCAGGTAAGTCCACTACGGGCTCACCATAGCCCGTGCTACTTGCCCCGCTCCTGTGCCAGGTAAGTCCACTACGGGCTCACCATAGCCCGTGCTACTTGCCCCGCTCCTGTGCCAGGTAAGTCCACCACGGGCTCACTATAGCCCGTGCTACTTGCCCCGCTCCTGTGCCAGGTAAGTCCACTACGGGCTCACCATAGCCCGTGCTACTTGCCCCGCTCCTGTGCCAGGTAAGTCCACTACGGGCTCACCATAGCCCGTGCTACTTGCCCCGCTCCTGTGCCAGCTAAGTCCACCACGGGCTCACCATAGCCCGTGCTACTTGCCCCGCAACTGTGCCAGCTAAGTCCACCACGGGCTCACCATAGCCCGTGCTACTTGCAACTTTTGGTTGCGAATCGTTGAATCTAAAATAACAACAGCTTTGCTGTATATCTTTGGACCTTTTCTATTTTTAATTTGTGCTGTTTTAGGCAGAAATGTATGCTAAACAGTGGGACTCAGGGGGATATGTGGGCTAAACAGTGGGACTCAGGGGGGATATATGGGCTAAACAGTGGGACTCAGGGGGATATATGGGCTAAACAGTGGGACTCAGGGGGATATATGGGCTAAACAGTGGGACTCAGGGGGATATATGGGCTAAACAGTGGGACTCAGGGGGATATATGGGCTAAACAGTGGGACTCAGGGGGGATATATGGGCTAAACAGTGGGACTCAGGGGGATATATATGGGCTAAACAGTGGGACTCAGGGGGGATATATGGGCTAAACAGTGGGACTCAGGGGGGATATATGGGCTAAACAGTGGGACTCAGGGGGATATATGGGCTAAACAGTGGGACTCAGGGGGATATATGGGCTAAACAGTGGGACTCAGGGGGATATATGGGCTAAACAGTGGGACTCAGGGGGATATATGGGCTAAACAGTGGGACTCAGGGGGATATATATGGGCTAAACAGTGGGACTCAGGGGGGATATATGGGCTAAACAGTGGGACTCAGGGGGGATATATGGGCTAAACAGTGGGACTCAGGGGGATATATGGGCTAAACAGTGGGACTCAGGGGGATATATGGGCTAAACAGTGGGACTCAGGGGGATATATGGGCTAAACAGTGGGACTCAGGGGGATATATGGGCTAAACAGTGGGACTCAGGGGGATATATGGGCTAAACAGTCAGGGGGACTCAGGGGGATATATGGGCTAAACAGTGGGACTCAGGGGGATATATGGGCTAAACAGTGGGACTCAGGGGGATATATGGGCTAAACAGTGGGACTCAGGGGGATATATGGGCTAAACAGTGGGACTCAGGGGGATATATGGGCTAAACAGTGGGACTCAGGGGGATATATGGGCTAAACAGTGGGACTCAGGGGGATATATGGGCTAAACAGTGGGACTCAGGGGGATATATGGGCTAAACAGTGGGACTCAGGGGGATATATGGGCTAAACAGTGGGACTCAGGGGGATATATGGGCTAAACAGTGGGACTCAGGGGGATATATGGGCTAAACAGTGGGACTCAGGGGGATATATGGGCTAAACAGTGGGACTCAGGGGGATATATGGGCTAAACAGTGGGACTCAGGGGGATATATGGGCTAAACAGTGGGACTCAGGGGGATATATGGGCTAAACAGTGGGACTCAGGGGGATATATGGGCTAAACAGTGGGACTCAGGGGGATATATGGGCTAAACAGTGGGACTCAGGGGGATATATGGGCTAAACAGTGGGACTCAGGGGGATATATGGGCTAAACAGTGGGACTCAGGGGGATATATGGGCTAAACAGTGGGACTCAGGGGGATATATGGGCTAAACAGTGGGACTCAGGGGGATATATGGGCTAAACAGTGGGACTCAGGGGGATATATGGGCTAAACAGTGGGACTCAGGGGGATATATGGGCTAAACAGTGGGACTCAGGGGGATATATGGGCTAAACAGTGGGACTCAGGGGGATATATGGGCTAAACAGTGGGACTCAGGGGGATATATGGGCTAAACAGTGGGACTCAGGGGGATATATGGGCTAAACAGTGGGACTCAGGGGGATATATGGGCTAAACAGTGGGACTCAGGGGGGATATATGGGCTAAACAGTGGGACTCAGGGGGATATATGGGCTAAACAGTGGGACTCAGGGGGATATATGGGCTAAACAGTGGGACTCAGGGGGATATATGGGCTAAACAGTGGGACTCAGGGGGATATATGGGCTAAACAGTGGGACTCAGGGGGATATATGGGCTAAACAGTGGGACTCAGGGGGATATATGGGCTAAACAGTGGGACTCAGGGGGATATATGGGCTAAACAGTGGGACTCAGGGGGATATATGGGCTAAACAGTGGGACTCAGGGGGATATATGGGCTAAACAGTGGGACTCAGGGGGATATATGGGCTAAACAGTGGGACTCAGGGGGATATATGGGCTAAACAGTGGGACTCAGGGGGATATATGGGCTAAACAGTGGGACTCAGGGGGATATATGGGCTAAACAGTGGGACTCAGGGGGATATATGGGCTAAACAGTGGGACTCAGGGGGATATATGGGCTAAACAGTGGGACTCAGGGGGATATATGGGCTAAACAGTGGGACTCAGGGGGATATATGGGCTAAACAGTGGGACTCAGGGGGATATATGGGCTAAACAGTGGGACTCAGGGGGATATATGGGCTAAACAGTGGGACTCAGGGGGATATATGGGCTAAACAGTGGGACTCAGGGGGATATATGGGCTAAACAGTGGGACTCAGGGGGATATATGGGCTAAACAGTGGGACTCAGGGGGGATATATGGGCTAAACAGTGGGACTCAGGGGGGATATATGGGCTAAACAGTGGGACTCAGGGGGATATATGGGCTAAACAGTGGGACTCAGGGGGGATATATGGGCTAAACAGTGGGACTCAGGGGGGATATATGGGCTAAACAGTGGGACTCAGGGGGGATATATGGGCTAAACAGTGGGACTCAGGGGGATATATGGGATTATACTCATTTGTCCAGGCTCATGAAGGCCACGTTGGCAACATTGTCATGTTTCCTGATGTTATTCTGGTGATGTGTGCCTCTGGAGGTAGAGATGGGGTTCCTCCCCGGGTCTTCCTCCTCATGACTGTGTCTTCCCCCTTCATCCTGTACTGTTGTGGCGCATCTTTCACACCTGTTTCCATCCTCGTAACTTTGCACTTCACTCGGTTAAAGTCTAGTAGCCATTTTTCAGGACGATTACTGGGTGTGCGTGCTGGTGCTAGGCTAACTACTGAACATTAGGGATAACTACTGACTTACGTTTAATCGACAAGATGATACCTGCTAACCCAGGCACCATCGCCTGGGTGGGAGAGCCTGGCAACATTTGCCAACTTATCTGAGAATCTGGACACATTAAATCAAATAAATGTGGCAACTATATACATGTTAAGTAAGTCTAAATACATCAATGCTAATTAATTTTGTCAGTTCAGGCTATATCACTGTAGGTCAAACTAATGAGGAGTAGGTCAGAACTTTGGGGAGTAGGTCATTGTAGGTCATATCATTGGGGAGTAGGTCATTGTAGGTCATATCATTGGGGAGTAGGTCATTGTAGGTCATATCATTGGGAAGTACATCATGTTGTTTGTTGTTTTAGATTCAGCTACTGGGAACTAAAAGTTTCAAGTAGCATGGGCTATGGTGAGCCCGTAGTGGACTTACCTGGCACAGGAGCGGGGCAAGTAGCACGGGCTATGGTGAGCCCGTAGTGGACTTACCTGGCACAGGAGCGGGGCAAGTAGCACGGGCTATGGTGAGCCCGTAGTGGACTTACCTGGCACAGGAGCGGGGCAAGTAGCACGGGCTATGGTGAGCCCGTAGTGGACTTACCTGGCACAGGAGCGGGGCAAGTAGCACGGGCTATGGTGAGCCCGTTGTGGACTTACCTGGCACAGGAGCGGTGCAAGTAGCACGGGCTATGGTGAGCCCGTAGTGGACTTACCTGGCACTGGAGCGGGGCAAGTAGCACGGGCTATGGTGAGCCCGTAGTGGACTTACCTGGCACTGGAGCGGGGCAAGTAGCACGGGCTATGGTGAGCCCGTAGTGGACTTACCTGGCACAGGAGCGGGGCAAGTAGCACGGGCTATGGTGAGCCCGTAGTGGACTTACCTGGCACTGGAGCGGGGCAAGTAGCACGGGCTATGGTGAGCCCGTTGTGGACTTACCTGGCACAGGAGCGGAGCAAGTAGCACGGGCTATGGTGAGCCCGTAGTGGACTTACCTGGCACTGGAGCGGGGCAAGTAGCACGGGCTATGGTGAGCCCGTAGTGGACTTGCCTGGCACAGGAGAGGGGTTGTAACTTGTTCGAAGTAGGTCATTAAAGGTCAGCTTATTAAGGATGTAACTGTAGGTCAGTTTACTGATTATTATAGAGCAGATCTTAAGGTTATACAATCCAGGACCCAGGATTGTACCTGGATGTGATTCTAGGAGCTCTTCTTCTCCCCAAGCCCGGCCCAGGGCCACGCGAGATCCACAGATCTTGTGAGAGCTTGATCCAACAGGCTGTTACTTCGAGCGGCCCGCGTGCTCACGTATCGACTATAGCCCGGTTGGTGCGCCATTTCTTACAGAAAAATGTCAATTTTTTGTTGAATTCCAATTTTCTTCTGGCAGCACTTCTTACACTTGCAAGGAGGATATCGAACAACCGTGGCCCTCTGATGTTCATAAAGTGTTCTCTGATTGTCTTTGTAGGTCGTGTCATTAGAGAGTAGGCTATTGTGGGTCATGACATTGGGAAGTGGTCATTGTAGGTCAAGACATTGGGGGAGTAGTCATTGGTCATGTCATTGGAGAGTAGTCATTGTAAGTCATGTCATTGTGGAGTAGGTCATGTCAGTGGGGAGTAGTCATTGTAGGTCAAGACATTGGGGGAGTAGTCATTGGTCATGTCATTGGAGAGTAGTCATTGTAAGTCATGTCATTGTGGAGTAGGTCATGTCAGTGGGGAGTAGTCATTGTAGGTCAAGACATTGGGGGAGTAGTCATTGGTCATGTCACTGGAGAGTAGTCATTGTAAGTCATGTCATTGTGGAGTAGGTCATATCAGTGGGGAGTAGTCATTGTAGGTCAAGACATTGGGGGAGTAGTCATTGGTCATGTCATTGGAGAGTAGTCATTGTAAGTCATGGCATTGTGGAGTAGGTCATGTCAGTGGGGAGTAGTCATTGTAGGTCAAGACAATGGGAAGTAGGTCATTGTAGGTCATGTCGTTGGGGAGTGGGCTATTGGAGGTCAGAGGAATATTAATGTGAATATTGATCTTCGTCCAGAAGAATGCAAGCTTTTCCTTGTCGTAACTGCTTAACCATCAAACCTTGGGTCGCAGCAAGGTCGTAAGTCGCCAAAGGTCTCCTGGGGGTGGGTATTCATCAAACACCTAAAAGCCCCTACTTACAAAACCTGTGAATCTCTCCTCAATCGCAGCAGCTTAGTTTCCCATTTACTAAACAGTTTACGAGCTCTGACGCTACGAGGTTCCTCAAGACAATGATAACCTCGGGTTACGAAGCTGGCAAGATCATGAATACAGAGTAAGGCAAATTACTTTTATAAATACAGCGTAAGCTGCCACGATCAAGATTTTTTTTTACGGGTGGGTCCAGGAACAGATGTCTTCTGTTAGCAGGCTTAGAGCTTTTTCCCTATTCATACCGAGTGATTTGCCCCTGGAACACGACCCGCCAATCGGTCAACAACCAGGTACTCAATTCTCTGGAAACACAAACCGAAACTGTCTCTATTTTCCGCTTGTTACAACTTGTAATAAAGTTGTTACATCTTGGCTTAACGTGTTTATGACGTATTAGAACGTTGTTACAACTTGCTATATTGGTTGTTATAACTGGTTAGGTGTTAAAACTTGTTCGAACGTTGTACCAACGTCGTAGTTTCGGTGTGTGTTTGGCGGGTTATCGCCGGGTGAACACAGGAGAATATTTAAGGATTGGTGCCCAGACAATCCTCCCTGATAGGGGCTCGAACGCAGACCGCTTGCGAGGCATAAGGCGATGTTCGGATTTCGTAAGGGGACACGAACTGCTGGATTAATCCTGGTACTGTCAGCAGGGAGATAGGCTTAGGCTTCTACTACTTTTAAATGTTCTTGTGCTGCCTTAAATGTGATGCAATGGATCTTAAGAACAAGTGCCACCACAAGTGTCAAGCAGAGAGCCTTAAGAACAAGGGCCACCACAAGTGTCAAGCAGAGAGCCTTAAGAACAAGTGCCACCACAAGTGTCAAGCAGAGGACCTTAAGAACAAGGGCCACCACAAGTGTCAAGTAGAGACCTTAAGAACAAGGGCCACCACAAGTGTCAAGCAGAGAGCCTTAAGAACAAGTGCCACCACAAGTGTCAAGCAGAGAGCCTTAAGAACAAGGGCCACCACAAGTGTCCAGCAGAGAGCCTTAAGAACAAGTGCCACCACAAGTGTCCAGCAGAGGACTTTAAGAACAAGTGCCACCACAAGTGTCAAGCAGAGAGCCTTAAGAACAAGTGCCACCACAAGTGTCAAGCAGAGAGCCTTAAGAACAAGTGCCACCACAAGTGTCAAGCAGAGAGCCTTAAGAACAAGGGCCACCACAAGTGTCAAGCAGAGGACCTTAAGAACAAGTGCCACCACAAGTGTCAAGCAGAGAGCCTTAAGAACAAGTGCCACCACAAGTGTCAAGCAGAGAGCCTTAAGAACAAGGGCCACCACAAGTGTCAAGCAGAGGACCTTAAGAACAAGGGCCACCACAAGTGTCAAGCAGAGGACCTTAAGAACAAGGGCCACCACAAGTGTCAAGCAGAGAGCCTTAAGAACAAGGGCCACCACAAGTGTCAGGCAGAGGACCTTAAGAACAAGGGCCACCACAAGTGTCAAGCAGAGGACCTTAAGAACAAGGGCCACCACAAGTGTCAAGCAGAGAGCCTTAAGAACAAGGGCCACCACAAGTGTCAAGCAGAGAGCCTTAAGAACAAGTGCCACCACAAGTGTCAAGCAGAGAGCCTTAAGAACAAGGGCCACCACAAGTGTCACGCAGAGAGCCTTAAGAACAAGGGCCACCACAAGTGTCAAGCAGAGAGCCTTAAGAACAAGTGCCACCACAAGTGTCAAGCAGAGGACCTTAAGAACAAGGGCCACCACAAGTGTCAAGCAGAGAGCCTTAAGAACAAGGGCCACCACAAGTGTCAAGCAGAGAGCCTTAAGAACAAGGGCCACCACAAGTGTCAAGCAGAGAGCCTTAAGAACAAGGGCCACCACAAGTGTCAAGCAGAGAGCCTTAAGAACAAGGGCCACCACAAGTGTCAAGCAGAGAGCCTTAAGAACAAGGGCCACCACAAGTGTCAGGCAGAGAGCCTTAAGAACAAGTGCCACCACAAGTGTCAAGCAGAGGACTTTAAGAACAAGTGCCACCACAAGTGTCAAGCAGAGAGCCTTAAGAACAAGGGCCACCACAAGTGTCAAGCAGAGGGCCTTAAGAACAAGTGCCACCACAAGTGTCAAGCAGAGGACCTTAAGAACAAGTGCCACCACAAGTGTCAAGCAGAGAGCCTTAAGAACAAGGGCCACCACAAGTGTCAAGCAGAGAGCCTTAAGCACAAGTGGTAGACGGATCCTCCTGGTACTTACTTGTTCATTTTGACCATCAGACTCTTCGAGGAAATCCTCACGTTTATCCTGTGACGAAATAATCATAAATAAAAAAAATATATAATAATAATTATAATAAATAATTAATACTAATATTTAATAAACAATAATAATAATTTGATATTGTAAATCGCATTACGGAGCTCCGAAGCTGTGGCTGGTTTTCTAGCTTAAAATATACCTATTTTCCAGAGTTGTTCTAGCAGCCTGTTGTGGCTGTAATTCTGATGGTGTGTATTTTTCAAGCAGGTAGAGATGTTGAGGACCTCACTTATCCTTATTTACTCCATTTTACATTTCAGTGTCACACTGTCCTCACACTTAATGGTCCTTTATTGTGACCTGACCTCCAGGAACCTCATGTGTGGGGGCTCCTTTATTGTGACCTGACCTCCAGGAACCTCATGTGTGGGGGCTCCTTTATTGTGACCTGACCTCCAGGAACCTCATGTGTGGGGGGACCTTTATTGTGACCTGACCTCCAGGAACCTCATGTGTGGGGGCTCCTTTATTGTGACCTGACCTCCAGGAACCTCATGTGTGGGGGGACCTTTATTGTGACCTGACCTCCAGGAACCTCATGTGTGGGGGGACCTTTATTGTGACCTGACCTCCAGGAACCTCATGTGTGGGGGCTCCTTTATTGTGACCTGACCTCCAGGAACCTCATGTGTGGGGGCTCCTTTATTGTGACCTGACCTCCAGGAACCTCATGTGTGGGGGCTCCTTTATTGTGACCTGACCTCCAGGAACCTCATGTGTGGGGGCTCCTTTATTGTGACCTGACCTCCAGGAACCTCATGTGTGGGGGCTCCTTTATTGTGACCTGACCTCCAGGAACCTCATGTGTGGGGGGACCTTTATTGTGACCTGACCTCCAGGAACCTCATGTGTGGGGGGACCTTTATTGTGACCTGACCTCCAGGAACCTCATGTGTGGGGGGACCTTTATTGTGACCTGACCTCCAGGAACCTCATGTGTGGGGGCTCCTTGTGACCTGACCTCCAGGAACCTCATGTGTGGGGGGACCTTTATTGTGACCTGACCTCCAGGAACCTCATGTGTGGGGGCTCCTTTATTGTGACCTGACCTCCAGGAACCTCATGTGTGGGGGCTCCTTTATTGTGACCTGACCTCCAGGAACCTCATGTGTGGGGGCTCCTTTATTGTGACCTGACCTCCAGGAACCTCATGTGTGGGGGCTCCTTTATTGTGACCTGACCTCCAGGAACCTCATGTGTGGGGGCTCCTTTATTGTGACCAGACCTCCAGGAACCTCATGTGTGGGGGGACCTTTATTGTGACCTGACCTCCAGGAACCTCATGTGTGGGGGACCTTTATTGTGACCTGACCTCCAGGAACCTCATGTGTGGGGGCTCCTTTATTGTGACCTGACCTCCAGGAACCTCATGTGTGGGGGCTCCTTTATTGTGACCTGACCTCCAGGAACCTCATGTGTGGGGGGTCCTTTATTGTGACCCGACCTCCAGGAACCTCATGTGTGGGGGGTCCTTTATTGTGACCCGACCTCCAGGAACCTCATGTGTGGGGGGTTCTTGTGATATTTTGTCTCTTATGTCTGCTTTTAAAACACCCCCCCCCCCCTACAGTTGAGTTATAAAAGCTACCGTTGAACATTAAAGCTACCGTTGAACATTAAAGCTACCGTTGAACATTAAAGCTACCGTTGAACATTAAAGCTACCGTTGAACATTAAAGCTACCACTGAACATTAAAGCTACCGCTGAACATTAAAGCTACCATTGAACATTAAAGCTACCATTGAACATTAAAGCTACCGTTGAACATTAAAGCTACCACTGAACATTAAAGCTACCGTTGAACATTAAAGCTACCGTTGAACATTAAAGATACCGTTGAACATTAAAGCTACCGTTGAACATTAAAGCTACCACTGAACATTAAAGCTACCATTGAACATTAAAGCTACCGTTGAACATTAAAGCTACCGTTGAACATTAAAGCTACCGTTGAACATTAAAGCTACCGTTGAACATTAAAGCTACCACTGAACATTAAAGCTACCGTTGAACATTAAAGCTACCACTGAACATTAAAGCTACCGCTGAACATTAAAGCTACCATTGAACATTAAAGCTACCATTGAACATTAAAGCTACCGTTGAACATTAAAGCTACCACTGAACATTAAAGCTACCGTTGAACATTAAAGCTACCGTTGAACATTAAAGCTACCACTGAACATTAAAGCTACCGTTGAACATTAAAGCTACCGTTGAACATTAAAGCTACCGTTGAACATTAAAGCTACCGTTGAACATTAAAGCTACCACTGAACATTAAAGCTACCGTTGAACATTAAAGCTACCGTTGAACATTAAAGCTACCGTTGAACATTAAAGCTACCGTTGAACATTAAAGCTACCGTTGAACATTAAAGCTACCACTGAACATTAAAGCTACCGTTGAACATTAAAGCTACCGTTGAACATTAAAGCTACCGTTGAACATTAAAGCTACCGTTGAACATTAAAGCTACCACTGAACATTAAAGCTACCATTGAACATTAAAGCTACCGTTGAACATTAAAGCTACCGTTGAACATTAAAGCTACCGTTGAACATTAAAGCTACCGTTGAACATTAAAGCTACCACTGAACATTAAAGCTACCGTTGAACATTAAAGCTACCGTTGAACATTAAAGCTACCGTTGAACATTAAAGCTACCGTTGAACATTAAAGCTACCGTTGAACATTAAAGCTACCACTGAACATTAAAGCTACCGTTGAACATTAAAGCTACCGTTGAACATTAAAGCTACCGTTGAACATTAAAGCTACCGTTGAACATTAAAGCTACCGTTGAACATTAAAGCTACCGTTGAACATTAAAGCTACCGTTGAACATTAAAGCTACCGTTGAACATTAAAGCTACCGTTGAACATTAAAGCTACCGTTGAACATTAAAGCTACCGTTGAACATTAAAGCTACCGCTGAACATTAAAGCTACCGTTGAACATTAAAGCTACCGTTGAACATTAAAGCTACCGTTGAACATTAAAGCTACCGTTGAACATTAAAGCTACCGTTGAACATTAAAGCTACCACTGAACATTAAAGCTACCGTTGAACATTAAAGCTACCGTTGAACATTAAAGCTACCGTTGAACATTAAAGCTACCACTGAACATTAAAGCTACCGTTGAACATTAAAGCTACCGTTGAACATTAAAGCTACCGTTGAACATTAAAGCTACCGTTGAACATTAAAGCTACCACTGAACATTAAAGCTACCATTGAACATTAAAGCTACCGTTGAACATTAAAGCTACCGTTGAACATTAAAGCTACCACTGAACATTAAAGCTACCGTTGAACATTAAAGCTACCGTTGAACATTAAAGCTACCGTTGAACATTAAAGCTACCGTTGAACATTAAAGCTACCGTTGAACATTAAAGCTACCGTTGAACATTAAAGCTACCACTGAACATTAAAGCTACCGCTGAACATTAAAGCTACCGTTGAACATTAAAGCTACCGTTGAACATTAAAGCTACCGTTGAACATTAAAGCTACCGTTGAACATTAAAGCTACCGTTGAACATTAAAGCTACCGTTGAACATTAAAGCTACCACTGAACATTAAAGCTACCGTTGAACATTAAAGCTACCGTTGAACATTAAAGCTACCACTGAACATTAAAGCTACCGTTGAACATCAAAGCTACCGTTGAACATTAAAGCTACCGTTGAACATTAAAGCTACCACTGAACATTAAAGCTACCACTGAACATTAAAGCTACCACTGAACATTAAAGCTACCGTTGAACATTAAAGCTACCACTGAACATTAAAGCTACCGTTGAATATTAAAGCTACCACTGAACATTAAAGCTACCACTGAACATTAAAGCTACCACTGAACATTAAAGCTACCACTGAACATTAAAGCTACCACTGAACATTAAAGCTACCGTTGAACATTAAAGCTACCGTTGAACATTAAAGCTACCACTGAACATTAAAGCTACCACTGAACATTAAAGCTACCGTTGAACATTAAAGCTACCGTTGAACATTAAAGCTACCATTGAACATTAAAGCTACCGTTGAACATTAAAGCTACCGTTGAACATTAAAGCTACCGTTGAACATTAAAGCTACCATTGAACATTAAAGCTACCACTGAACATTAAAGCTACTGTTGAACATTAAAGCTACCACTGAACATTAAAGCTACCGTTGAACATTAAAGCTACCGTTGAACATTAAAGCTACCGTTGAACATTAAAGCTACCGTTGAACATTAAAGCTACCGTTGAACATTAAAGCTACCACTGAACATTAAAGCTACCGTTGAACATTAAAGCTACCGTTGAACATTAAAGCTACCGTTGAACATTAAAGCTACCGTTGAACATTAAAGCTACCACTGAACATTAAAGCTACCGTTGAACATTAAAGCTACCGTTGAACATTAAAGCTACCACTGAACATTAAAGCTACCGCTGAACATTAAAGCTACCGTTGAACATTAAAGCTACTGTTGAACATTAAAGCTACCGTTGAACATTAAAGCTACCGTTGAACATTAAAGCTACCGTTGAACATTAAAGCTACCGTTGAACATTAAAGCTACCACTGAACATTAAAGCTACCGTTGAACATTAAAGCTACCGTTGAACATTAAAGCTACCACTGAAAATTAAAGCTACCGTTGAACATTAAAGCTACCGTTGAACATTAAAGCTACCGTTGAACATTAAAGCTACCACTGAACATTAAAGCTACCGTTGAACATTAAAGCTACCGTTGAACATTAAAGCTACCATTGAACATTAAAGCTACCACTGAACATTAAAGCTACCGTTGAACATTAAAGCTACCGTTGAACATTAAAGCTACCGTTGAACATTAAAGCTACCACTGAACATTAAAGCTACCACTGAACATTAAAGCTACCACTGAACATTAAAGCTACCACTGAACATTAAAGCTACCACTGAACATTAAAGCTACCACTGAACATTAAAGCTACCACTGAACATTAAAGCTACCGTTGAATATTAAAGCTACCACTGAACATTAAAGCTACCACTGAACATTAAAGCTACCACTGAACATTAAAGCTACCACTGAACATTAAAGCTACCACTGAACATTAAAGCTACCGTTGAACATTAAAGCTACCGTTGAACATTAAAGCTACCACTGAACATTAAAGCTACCACTGAACATTAAAGCTACCGTTGAACATTAAAGCTACCGTTGAACATTAAAGCTACCATTGAACATTAAAGCTACCGTTGAACATTAAAGCTACCGTTGAACATTAAAGCTACCGTTGAACATTAAAGCTACCATTGAACATTAAAGCTACCACTGAACATTAAAGCTACCGTTGAACATTAAAGCTACCACTGAACATTAAAGCTATCGTTGAACATTAAAGCTACCGTTGAACATTAAAGCTACCACTGAACATTAAAGCTACCACTGAACATTAAAGCTACCACTGAACATTAAAGTTACCATTGAACATTAAAGCTACCATTGAACATTAAAGTTACCATTGAACATTAAAGCTACCACTGAACATTAAAGTTACCATTGAACATTAAAGCTACCACTGAACATTAAAGCTACCACTGAACATTAAAGCTACCACTGAACATTAAAGCTACCACTGAACATTAAAGCTACCATTGAACATTAAAGCTACCACTGAACATTAAAGCTACCACTGAACATTAAAGTTACCATTGAACATTAAAGTTACCATTGAACATTAAAGCTACCACTGAACATTAAAGTTACCATTGAACATTAAAGCTACCACTGAACATTAAAGCTACCACTGAACATTAAAGCTACCACTGAACATTAAAGCTACCACTGAACATTAAAGCTACCATTGAACATTAGAGCTACCATTAGATTTTAAAGCTACCATTAAACTTTACAGCTACCATTAAGCTTAAAAGATACAATTCAACACACACAAACTCCATTAAATCCACTATATCCATCCATCCACTACCCACCCACCCACCCATCCATCCATCCACTACCCACCCACCCATCCATCCATCCACTACCCACCCACCCACCCACCCACCCATCCATCCACTACCCACCCATCCATCCATCCACTACCCACCCATCCATCCATCCACTACCCACCCATCCATCCATCCACTAGCCACCCATCCATACCTGGTTGATGGGGTTCTGGGAGTTCTTCTACTCCCCAAGCCCGGCCCGAGGCCAGGCTTGACTTGTGAGAGTTTGGTCCACCAGGCTGTTGCTTGGAGCGGCCCGCAGGCCCACATACCCACCACAGCCCGGTTGGTCCGGCACTCCTTGGAGGAAACAATCTAGTTTCCTCTTGAAGATGTCCACGGTTGTTCCGGCAATATTTCTTATAGTCGCTGGGAGGACGTTGATCAACTGCGGACCTCTCAAGTTTATACAGTGTTCTCTGATTGTGCCTATGGCACCTCTGCTCTTCACTGGTTCTATTCTACATTTTCTTCCATATCGTTCACTCCAGTACGTTGTTATTTTACTGTGAAGATTTGGTACTTGGCCCTCCAGTATCTTCCAAGTGTATATTATTTGATATCTCTCTCGTCTCCTTTCTAGTGAGTACATTTGGAGAGCTTTGAAACGATCCCAACAATTTAGGTGTTTTATCGCGTCTATGCGTGCCGTATATGTTCTCTGTATTCCCTCTATTTCAGCAATCTCTCCTGCTCTGAAGGGGGAAGTGAGTACTGAGCAGTACTCAAGACGGGACAACACAAGTGACTTGAAGAGTACAACCATTGTGATGGGATCCCTGGATTTGAAAGTTCTCGTAATCCATCCGGTCATTTTTCTGGCTGACGCAATATTTGCTTGGTTATGCTCCCTAAACGTTAGGTCGTCAGACATCATTATTCCCAAATCCTTTACATGCTGCTTTCCTACTATGGGTACATTTGATTGTGTTTTGTACTCTGTATTATGTTTACGGTCTTCATTTTTACCGTACCTGAGTACCTGGAATTTATCACTGTTAAACATCATGTTATTTTCTGTTGCCCAGTCGAAAACTTTATTAATATCTGCTTGAAGTTTTTCAATGTCTTCAGCCGAGGTAATTTTCATGCTGATTTTTGTGTCATCTGCAAAGGATGATACGAAGCTGTGACTTGTATTTTTGTCTATATCTGATATGAGAATAAGGAAAAGCAGCGGTGCAAGGACTGTACTTTGAGGTACACAGCTTTTAACTGCGCTTGGACTAGATTTTATATGGTTGACCGTTACTCGCTGAGTCCTGTTTGACAGAAAACTGAGTATCCAGCGTCCTACTTTACCGGTTATTCCCATTGACTTCATTTTGTGTGCTATCACGCCATGGTCACATTTATCGAAAGCCTTTGCGAAGTCCATGTATATCACATCAGCATTCTGTTTTCCTTCTAATGCCTCAGTGACTTTGTCGTAGTGTTCAAGTAGCTGTGAGAGGCACGATCTTCCCGCTCGAAATCCATGTTGGCCTGGGTTGTGAAGGTCATTGGTCTCCTTGAAATTGGTGACCTGACTCCTGATCACTCTCTCAAATACTTTTATTATGTGGGATGTTAGTGCAACTGGTCTATAATTCTTTGCCAATTCTTTGCTCCCTCCCTTGTGTAGAGGGGGCTATGTCTGCTACTTTAAGTTCATCTGGTATCTCCCCCGTGTCCAAGCTCTTCCTCCACACTATACTGAGTGCCTGTGCTACTGGCACTTTGCATTTCTTTATAAATATTGAATTCCATGAATCTGGACCCGGGGCTGAGTGCATGGGCATATTGTCAATTTCTCTTTCAAAATCTGCTACGCTCGTGTTGATATCAGTTATATTTACAGGTGTTTGGATATCACGCATAAAGAAATTGTCTGGATCTTCCACATTCATGTTGTTTATTGGAGTGCTAAACATGTCCTCATACTGCTTTTTTAGGATTTCACTAATTTCTTTGTCATCCTCCGTGTATGAACCTTCACTTGTACAAATAGGTCCAATACTGGCAGTGGTATTTGCTTTTGATTTCGCATATGTGAAAAAATATTTTGGATTTTTCCTTATTTCCTGAATTGCTTTCTGTTCTAACTGCCTTTCTTCAATTTGATATGAAGGTTTCAATTTTCGCTCGAATTCTTCAATCTCCCTATTTAAATTATTCCTTCTTTGACGGGAAAGTCGTGTCTGCATAAGCAGTTCCGTTATTTTTTTTCCTGCGTTTGTAGTGTCGTCTGGGTTCTCTTTCTACGTTGGACCTTTTTCTGACTTTCCTCAAAGGAACATGTTTCAGACAGACTTGATACGCTTCCGAAGTCAGTTTTTCAATTCCTTCTGTAGGACTTGTATTACTTAGAACAGTTTCCCATGGAATGTTTGTAAGTTCCCTGTTTATTATCTCCCAGTCTATCTTTTTATTATTAAAATTGAATTTACCGAATAGTCCCTCTCGCTTGATCAACGTTTTAGGTCTATTCTGAGTATTGATGGTCGTTTGCACTTCAATGAGCTTGTGATCTGAGTATGTGGTATCTGAGATCGTAATGTCTCTGATAATGTCTTCATTGTTCTTAAAGACCAGATCTAGAATATTTTCATTTCTCGTTGGCTCCGATATCTGCTGATTGAGTGAAAATTTGTCACAGAATCTAAGCAGTTCTCTACTCTGTGGTTGGTTAGGTCCCGATAAATTTCCTGGTATAATATTATTGTTTGCTATTCTCCATCTGAGACTAGGCAAGTTGAAGTCACCTAAGAAGATAATATCGGGTATCGGGTTCTCCAAATTATCAAGGCTATTCTCTATTTTGTTTCTCTATCCATCCATCCACTACCCACCAATTCACTAGTCACCCTTCCATCCATCCACTACCCACCCATCCACTACCCACTTATTCACTAGTCACCCATCCATCCATCCACTACCCACCCATCCACTACCCACTTATTCACTAGTCACCCATCCATCCATCCACTACCCACCCATCCACTACCCACTTATTCACTAGTCACCCATCCATCCATCCACTACCCACCCACCCATCCATCCACTAGCCACCCACCCATCCATCCACTACCCACCCACCCATCCATCCACTAGCCACCCACCCATCCATCCACTAGCCACCCACCCATCCATCCACTAGCCACCCACCCATCCATCCACTACCCACCCACCCATCCATCCACTACCCACCCACCCATCCATCCACTACCCACCCACCCATCCATCCACTAGCCACCCACCCATCCATCCACTAGCCACCCACCCATCCATCCACTACCCACCCACCCATCCATCCACTAGCCACCCACCCATCCATCCACTACCCACCCACCCATCCACGAGCACACACTCACCGCATGGGGGTCAAGAAGCTCCCGACAGCCCTCATTCTTGTCCTTGGACTTGCTGACGATGGGGTGAATACAGGTGTGTTGTCTGGAGGCTAGCACCACTGACCTGCAGGGGGGGGGGAGAAGCCATCATTACTCATTATCTGCCTCATACACTCATTATCTGCCTCATACACTCATTATCTGCCTCATACACTCATTATCTGCCTCATACACTCATTATCTGCCTCATACACTCATTATCTGCCTCATACACTCATTATCTACCTCATACACTCATTACATGTACCCTCATACATATAAGCATTCTTTACATACACGTCACGTTTAAAATAAGTGCATATATGCACACGTGTGCATAACTTTACCCGGTTATCTTGAGGTTATCTTGAGATGATTTTGGGGCTTTAGTGTCCCCGCGGCCCGGTCCTCGACCAGGCCTCCACCCCCAGGAAGCAGCCCGTGACAGCTGACCAACACCCAGGTACCTATTTTACTGCTAGGTACCAGGGGCATCAGGGTGATGATTTAACCTCTGGTTGGGCGTCAGGCCTATCAACCGTGGTAGGGTTAAGACCACTATTTCGTCGTATTGACCAGCTAGCAAGTATCCTGCTAATAGCACGTTGCATTTTGACGTATACTCTACGTTAAGGCCCCCCAAAAAACTGTCGTACTTGAAAACAGAAGCGGCTGGCGAAATTGACATACTGTCCCGTTTTCTGTTTTGGGTCCTCTGGTAGGTTAGGATAAGGGGGGCACTTTAGTACGACACGTTATTGACGTTGGGAACGCTTGCGAGAACGGGCTGCATGAACATAGCCAAATTTTAAATTTTGTCCAAGCATTATACATTACATTATACTCTATTACTATACACCTAGAAATAAGGTACACTTCTTGGTGTATAATCCCCTGGCCTTTGAGAACAGCGAAGCGACCTGTGTTGCTCATATTGCTCCTGTCGTCTGTGAATGTATGATGTCTGCGCACTTTGTAGACTAACAAACACTCTGAATTAAATATATCCGTCTTTATATATTAACATTAAACGCGATTAATTTCACCCTCCAGGCAATATAATTTAAGACTAGCTATAGGAAGGTATTAACTTTACGAGGAAAATAATTAAATAACTACATTGGCCGCAGGGAAAAACAAATTACATACATCAAGGATTATCAATTTCAGTTTAAACAAGCACCCAGACAAGGTGAGGAAGGAGGCGTCGCCCTTGTTAGCTGCTCGGAACCATATTGGCCGAGCGGGTCAGCGCTCATTAATCTTACCCCTCGCCCCCCACCTATACCCATTCCCCCACCCACATACCACCTCTATATTCCCAGCAACAACCCATTATTCGCCTCACTGTATTTTGTCCAAGCATTAGTCTACGCTGGCCACTGTTATCACGGATATATTTAAGTTGGTCATAAATCATCACTGAAAATGTAGCCCGCGTGTCACTAGAGAAAACAGATGTGTGTGCCGGACGCCAGGGGGGACTATACGCTTCTCGGCAGACTGTCAATATTAATGGCGCACAGCGGGAGAAAACCAACAGAGGGTGTGTAAAGGCGCAGGCGACGCACGCGGCCAGAATAGCAAAGTGTCGGTGGTTGATTTGATGTGTGAAGATAGCCCTTACACCACACCAACTTACGAGCACCTCTTTCATCCACGCTATTAACTAAAGCGGCCACGATCCAAATGCTGCCATCTGGTTACAGTGATCTTTGGACACGATATTCCCGTTAAACATAATAATATCTCTACAGCATGATGATAATCAACTATAGGGGAAACAAACCAGCAGACTGCTCATATTTACAAGAGGGAAAGTGGTTTAGAATCACCAATCGTGTGTAACGAAGTGTTATATATGACGATATCCCGGGATGAACTTGTATAGGCTACACCAGGCTTGGGAGGGACACGCCCCAATGGCTCTTTAACATGCTATTGCTCGCCTCAGGTGAGGTCGGCTCTCACGCAGCGAGTCGGGGGTGTACTCACCTACTGGTGCTTGCGGGGGTTGAGCTCTGGCTCTTTGGTCCCGCGACCAGAGAGAGAGAGAGAGAGAGAGAGAGAGAGAGAGAGAGAGAGAGAGAGAGAGAGAGAGAGAGAGAGAGAGAGAGAGAGAGAGAGAGAGAGAGAGAGAGACAGAGACAGAGAGAGACAGAGACAGAGAGAGACAGAGACAGAGACAGAGACAGAGAGAGAGAGAGAGAGAGAGAGAGAGAGAGAGAGAGAGAGAGAGAGAGAGAGAGAGAGAGAGAGAGACAGAGAGAGAGACAGAGAGAGAGACAGAGAGAGAGAGAGAGAGAGAGAGAGAGAGAGAGAGAGAGAGAGAGAGAGAGAGAGAGAGAGAGAGAGAGAGAGAGAGAGAGAGAGAGAGAGAGAGAGAGTGTGTGTGTGTGTGTGTGTGTGTGTGTCTCTCTCTCTCTCTCTCTCTCTCTCTCTCTCTCTCTCTCTCTCTCTCTCTCTCTCTCTCTCTCTCTCTCTCTCTCTCACACACACACACACACACACACACACACACACACACACACGAGGGGACATGATCACCACACACAATATTCTCAAAGGAATTCATAGGGTGGACAAAGACAAACTCTTCAGCACGGGTGGGACACGAACAAGGGGACACAGGTGGAAACTTAGTACCCACATGAGCCACAGAGACGTTAGAAAGAATTTTTTCAGTGTCAGAGTGGTTGACAAATGGAATGCACTAGGAAGTGATGTGGTGGAGGCTGACTCCATACACAGTTTCAAGTGTAGATATGATAGAGCCCAGTAGGCCCAGGAATCTGTACACCTGTTGATTGACAGTTGAGAGGCGGGACCAAAGAGCCAGGGCTCAACCCCCGCAAGCACAACAGAGTATACACACCCACCCACACACACACACACACACACACACACACACACACACACACACACACACACACACACACACACACACACACACCCACCCACACACCCACACACACCCACACACACACAGGTCAGTCTCCCCCAACAAGAGAGACTACCCTGGACCCTCACAGAAGACACCACCACAAGAGAGACTACCCTGGACCCTCACAGAAGACACCACCACAAGAGAGACTACCCTGGACCCTCACAGAAGACACCACCACAAGAGAGACCACCCTGGACCCTCACAGAAGACACCACCACAAGAGAGACTACCCTGGACCCTCACAGAAGACACCACCACAAGAGAGACCACCCTGGACCCTCACAGACTACCCTGGACCCTCACAGACTACCCTGGACCCTCACAGACTACCCTGGACCCTCACAGACTACCCTGGACCCTCACAGAAGACACCACCACAAGAGAGACCACCCTGGACCCTCACAGACTACCCTGGACCCTCACAGACTACCCTGGACCCTCACAGACTACCCTGGACCCTCACAGAAGACACCACCACAAGAGAGACCACCCTGGACCCTCACAGAAGACACCACCACCTCATATCTTCAACAGAGTTAATGCTCTTGCTTCCTGGTCAAACATTACAAATATTTCACGAAATTGAATTACTTCAGTATAATTTTTTTAACTATACTGGTGAATAACTCATGAAAGCCTCATTAATAAAATCCAAAATCAGTCGTAAAATGATTATTTGGAGGATGTTCGTGTATGTGGTACCAACCACATACGCATACAACAGTTACCATTATCTCCAACATTCATGGATTCATCAGGGAACCAAATACGAAACCTGTACATCCTGCCTTAAATATGTCGGCTTTGTTTACATCTATTAACCAGTTGACGTGCTTCCATACTTCACAACCCTTTATAATTGTTATAAAAACGACCTCTAAGTGCTTCCGAGCAAAAAAAAAAAAAAAAAAGATGCCATGCTTGAGGAGAGATGTAGAGGTTTCGTTAAGTGGTTGGCTAAATGCTCGAATCCCGGCCCTGGGGCCAGATTCACTTAGGAGTTACGCAAGTACTTACGAACGTGTACATCTTTCCTCAATCTTTGACAGCTTTGGTTACATTTATTAAACAGTTTACAAGCATGAAAACTTGCCAATCAACTGTTGTTATTGTTATAAACAGCCTCCTGGTGCTTCGGAGCTCATTAACTGTTTAATAATTGTAAACAAAGCCGTCAAAGATTGAGAAAAGATGTACAGGTTCGTAAGTGCTTGCGTAACTGCTTCGTGAATCTGGCCCCTGGACGTTATGAATTATTTCTCCAATATACCAAAGCCAACGTGATTGGATGATTGAAAAACAATTGATGTTATTGTTTGGTATTATCCCACCGTGTGGAGGGAACCCTTCCATTTCCCCGGTGTCAGGGGTCGCCCTGCCCATTTCCCGGTGGCCAGGGGTCACCCTGCCCATTTCCCGGTGGCCAGGGGTCACCCTGCCCATTTCCCGGTGGCCAGGGGTCACCCTGCCCATTTCCCGGTTGCCAGGGGTCACCCTGCCCATTTCCCGGTGGCCAGGGGTCACCCTGCCCATTTCCCGGTGGCCAGGGGTCACCCTGCCCATTTCCCGGTTGCCAGGGGTCACCCTGCCCATTTCCCGGTTGCCAGGGGTCACCCTGCCCATTTCCCGGTGACCAGGGGTCACCCTGCCCATTTCCCGGTGGCCAGGGGTCACCCTGCCCATTTCCCGGTGACCAGGGGTCACCCTGCCCATTTCCCGGTGGCCAGGGGTCACCCTGCCCATTTCCCGGTGGCCAGGGGTCACCCTGCCCATTTCCCGGTGACCAGGGGTCACCCTGCCCATTTCCCGGTGACCAGGGGTCACCCTGCCCATTTCCCGGTGGCCAGGGGTCACCCTGCCCATTTCCCGGTGGTCAGGGCGACCCAGAGCACAAGCTTAACATCACTCTACGTAACAAATAATCCGTTCATACACTCTTGTCACTCCTTCATGTACATCTATAACAGAGTGTAACAGCGTCCTCTGGTCACAGTCACCGTAACACCACAATGTTGAAGGTGGAGGATTAATAAGCAACAGATATGTAACGGTTCTATTGTTACGTAAAGTGTGGTGACAATAAACACAGACCCTAAGAGAATATACACACAGAGATCACACTAACGTGAGGCATCAAA